GACTCGACAAGTTGGGAGCCCCGGCTCGTCGAGTAGGGAACATTTCGAGGATGTGGGATCTAGGCTCTACTCAAAGAGTTGGAAGGCCAACTCGACGAGTAGGTACGGTAAGGGAAAAACCATATTTGCACCCTATATAATCTCCTTAAGAACCTTAAGGCTAACCTTCCATCAGCCTCCAAACCCTAAGAACATCTATGCTAAACCCTAATCCCCATTCTCTTTCATTTTGTGAGCTAGAGTGACTTGTGGAGCTTAAGAGGAAGGAGATAGTGAGAAGAAGAAGAAGAAGAATAAGATCCAACAAACCAAGCCCTCACTCTTGAGCTTGACCAACTTGTGGATTGTGGTAAGTCTTCAAGATTCTATTTTTATCGTAGAATATGGCTAGATCTTGAGTTTAATCTTCATTTCCTATCTTTCTTGTTGATTGCATGCATGAGGTTCATAAAGTTTGCAACTTTATGGATCTCCAAGGCAAAATAGTCTTACAGTGGGCTAGATCTAGCTTTTAGTCAAGCAAGGATCCCATACAAGGGTTTTAGAGTATAATTCCCCTTTTTGGCCAATTTGACTTAATGACATGCATTGGACATTCATGTCCATAAAGCCTCCATCTTTGGAACGTTTTGAGGACTAGAAACTCTTCTGGAAAGAAGGGATTCCAGATCCCTAAAGTCTTGGAACACATGGCATAGCTTTTAAGCTTTCAAACCTTTGATAAGGTCTTTAGAGCATTCGGAGTGGTTCTAAAGGGTAAAGTTGGAAACTTTATCCTTCTAGACACCTTAGGGTTTCAGATCTAAGCCTTGGAGTCCCTGCATTTTGTGAATCATCATAATAAGCAAACATGGAGGGGGACTCGACGAGTTGCCATGGCAACTCGACGAGTCGGATAGTGGTGTTTCCCCGTCCACTGGATATCAAGTGAACCCGTCGAGTTGATGAAACAACTTGGCGAGTTGGCTAGGGTTTGTTCAGGTTTTATGGACTCTGTAGGAACTCGACGAGTTACTAGATTCACTCGACGAGTTGGGTCAACATGGACTATTGACCTTGGCTGTTAACATTGACTTTGACCAGGGTTGACTTAGAGGGTAATTATAGGATTATGACAACATACTTATAGGAAGTTGAGTTGGAGCTGCGCATTAGGACTTATTAGATCTTATACTGTTAGCACATAATTCGTGAGAGGTGAGTCTTCTCACTATACCAATGGGTCTAAGGCAACAAGGCCAACCCAATCTATGTTATGTGGACTGCTGATTGATTATGCATTATGTTAGTATGACATTTGCATGGAAGACCCCGAGGGGTTCCCATGGCAGTAGTATGAGACCATGTGGGGGTTCCTGTGGCATTTCGTATATTACCTTGGAGGGTTTCCATGGCATCCTAGTATATCTGCATGGATAGTTTGCATTATGTCTTGTTTGGTAGTGAAGACCTTGTGGGGGTTCCCAAGGCAGGAAGACCTTGTGGGGGTTCCCAAGGCAAGAAGACCATGTGGGGGTTCCCAAGGCAAGAAGACCATGTGGGGGTTCCTATAGCAGGCAGTTAAGACCACGTGGGGGTTCCAATGGCACTAGGTGTAAGACCCTGGAGGGTTTCCACGATTTCCTTATATGTTTTATGCATGGCTTATGTGATATGTGTAGCTTATAACTAATATGTTATGTGTTATGTGTTATGTGTTATGTGTTATGTGATTGTGTGTGGGGTATGCTCTGGGGGACTCACTAAGAATTAGCTTACAACTTGTGGATTTGTTTCAGGTACTTTTGACCCCAATGGCAAGGGCAAGGCTTGATGGCGCGACGTACACTTTCTCTCAGTCATTTTTATGGGACACTCTGATGTTTTCAAATAAAGTTGTAATTGATATGAACTTTGAAAACAATTGTATTTGGATTTCGTGGTTTATGGAAACGTAATTTGGCTAATAAAAAATGAAAATTTTCTTTCGAAAAATTGGGTCGTTACATAAGGCAAGCTTGGGCAAGTAAAGTGGCACAAAGTTATGGCTAATACCTCTACAAAATTGGGAGCCCACAAAGAAACCCACATGCCTTTAAACCAACTCATATTTCACAAGACGTCTGGAACTCCTGCAAGCAAAATGGAATACAGATGAATACAAGCTGAAATCCGAGTAGAACAAGAAAAATAGGCATAATGGTGTGGTTGATGGGATAACACAACCTACCCATAATGTTGGATCCACAAATCATTTGAAGATAGATTCTAATTTTATAATTTATTTTAATGGTACATCAATGTTTATGTTTATGTGTATGTTTTACATTTTATGGTATTTACGTAGAAGGGGAAATTAGGACGTGATCCAACCCATAGTGAATTGTTCCTGTATATACACATGAAGAATCACGATGGAGTCACATTTACAAATGAAAAATATAGACAAATTCATGTAATATTCATTTCAGTGCAATTAAACTTTTATATTTTAGCTAGTCCTTAATGCCATTCATAACTTTGATATCTTTTAATTTAAATTATTATTATTATTTTGTAGGCGGCATATTCAATAAAACGGGAAAAGCTAGAAGTTGAAGGTGCTGAATTTGAGGATGACAAAATATTTTATGATGTTGGTGGTGGTGATGATTAAAAAAAATACAAAAAAAAAACCTTTTATGGATTAGTCTCTTTTGCAAAGGTTGTTCCCAAGATTAATGGTAAAGCGGATGTATCTTACATTCCAAAAAAATGATGAAATAGAAGAATTGAGGGAGCTTGTTGCTAAACAAAAAGAGCAAAACGAAGAGATTAAATAAATAATGAAAGCCCAAGAAGACAAATACACCACAAAAGTCGAGCAACTTAATAAACAACTTAAATCAGCAATGGATCTTATTAATGTTATTAGAGAACAACAAAGCTAGTAGGTCATAAAGTGTTAATATGTTTATCGCAAAGTATTTATTTTAGAGTGGTCACTTTCTATTTTCCATTTAATAAATAATTATTGTACTATTTTTTGATATAATGTTATTTGATTTTTTTGTTATTTTTGTTTTTTATATACTACTACAAAATAATTTGGATTTAATTTATAAATCGATTATTCATCCGTCCCTAGGAATCTTTGCTATGGAACCGGCTATATAATATACACCACAAAATTTGGTAGGGATTCAAGACCACAAAATTTGTTAGGGAGTCATCATCATGAAAGTTGTTAGGGATTCACCATCACAATTTGTTAGGGATTTTCACCACGAAATTTGCTAGGGAATCACCACAGACTTTGCTAGGGATTCACCACCATGGAAATTGCTAAAGATTCACCACCATAAAATTTGTTATGGATTCACCACAACCGAATTTGCTAGGGATTCATCACCACAGAACTTGTTAGGGAATCACCACCACGAAATTTGCTAGGGATTCACCACTACGGAATACATAATTTGTGATGGAATCCTACTACGGAATACACGATGGAATACCATCTACAACGGATTTCATTCCGTAGTCACATTTGTGACGAAATGATTGTTTCCTTAGAAAAACCTTGCTATGGGGTTTTTTAGGACGGAAATCGATTGTCGCAAATTTCATCGTTATTCGTCTTTTGCAATGGAATTTCAGTTTTTCGATGGATTCCTTCCTTAGCAAAATCACTTTTTTCTTGTAGTGAAAAGACAGTTTCATTTCTCTTCTCAAAGTTCACAACACCACAACCTGGCGACAACACATATCCTTTGGCGGATGAAGTGCATGCATGTAGTTATTTTTGGATTAACAATCGTAACAAAAAATGCTCCGTTGGTTGAATTACTTGTTAGTTTGATTTGCTTTAATAAAATTTGAATGTTCTAAAAAAAAATTAAAAAAAAAAAAAAAGGTGTAAATAACACGAATGGTCCATATGGTTTAGAGTAATTTACATGTTTAGTCCCTAACTTATTCTTTTAACTCGGAAGGTCCCTACAGTTTGTTTTTGTCACGTGCTTGGTCCATACTATTTATTTTTGTTACGCGCTTGGTCCCTATCTTACCTAAAAAGACTATTATTTAAATAGGGAAAATGACGGGGTAGGTAAGATAAGGTGAGGGGATGTTGTTTAGGGCGTATTTATTTAAATAAATTAAAAAATCAAGAGCAAAATAGTTTTTTTTAAGTAAGACAGTGACCAAACGCGTAACAAAAACAAACAGTAGTGACCTTCTGAGTTAAAAAAATAAGTTAGGAACCAAACGCGTAAATTATCCTAAACCATAGGGACCATTCGTGTAATTTACTCAAAAGAAAAGTATAAAACGAATTTAGCTAAAATATTAAGAGGCGTTTGGGATTGCTTTTTAAACTAAAAATTTCTTTTTAGAAAATGATTTTTTGATTTATATCTTTTTGCAAAAGAAATTTTTAATATGTGTTTTTATGAACTTTAATTTGAAGGTGCAAACGAAAAAAAAATTACTAAAAGTCACAAATTTATGGCTTCTTAAATAACTTTTTCTTTTTCTCAAAAAATTAATCTAAAAAAACGTTTGAAGTTAGGCCACCGGGTATGGAAGCTTTTTTGATGCGTAAAGGGTGACGTTGAGGGGAGTATTTACACGTGAACACCACACCCCTCCCTGGTGAATGTGACGCACAGTGGCGTGGTTCAAGGGTGGTTACAACCAATAGAATTTCATTTTCCCATACTTCTCTCTATCTCTCTTGCTTTTCTCTTTCTCCCCTTTTTTGTTCACTAGTTATTCACCACCCCCTTGTTAGTAAACATGTAGTGAAGTAGTTATTGAAATAATGTGGCGGTCCTTAAACACGTAACCATATCTCATGGCCTTATCAAACAACTTTTTAAATTTTAAACTTTTTGAAAAAATCAAAAGTCCAAAAAATCCTTTTTATAAAGGAATGGCAACCACCGTTTAAAACACTTTGATTAGATTATTTGTGGTGGAATATTATTTTCTATTTTTGTTTTGGACCACCACTATACTGATGTGTCCCCCACGATACTGATGTCTCCAAGAGAAGAAATCAAACAAATGTGAGATTCATGGACTTTGAATAATCCGAACTAAGAATTTGAGACTATTAGGAGGAGACTACAAACAATAGTCTTGTTTTCATCTTCATTTTTGGCTCCCAAATTTTCTTTGGACCCAAATGTGACAGCCATAAATAAGTTTCCTGGAACATGTGTTTGTGGAAGTTTTAGACACGGCAAAGTGTCAACAATGTCAGCATGCATACAAGTTTTTCTTTTTCTTCTAAATGTCCTAACAATATAAATTACACCGATAAACCACACTTTTAAGTACACACCCATAACCACAAAGTATGGCACTTTTAACGATCGAGAAGACCTTCCTCCCTTCGGTCATATTCTTACTTGTAACAGTTTCCTCCATACTTTTTTCAGCTTCCGGTTCCTTCGATGAAGTTGATGCTCTCATAAGATGGAAAGCAACCCTCCATAGCCAAAACAATGACGTCCTTTTACCTTCATGGACAGGTATTCGTCTTAATTCTTCTGTTCACATAATGGTATCTCCATGCAGCTGGTATGGGGTTTCATGCAATGATGATGGGAGCATACATGGTTTGAACCTTTCGTCTTCTGGTTTAAACGGTACACTTGATCATTTCTCATTCTCATCGTTTCCCAATCTCACATTCTTTGACCTCAGTTTCAACTACTTTTCTGGTATCATCCCACCTGATTTGGGTCGCCTTTCTAACATTCTCTATCTTGATTTCGCTTTCAATCAATTCTCTGGAATAATCCCACCAGAAATCGGACAACTGAATAATCTTGAAGCCCTTCATTTTTTCAGTAATCAGTTGAATGGTTCGATTCCAGAAGCCATATGCCGAATGAGGAACCTTTCTCAGCTTGCTTTGAGCTTCAACCATCTTTATGGTTTAATTCCTACGTGTTTGGGTCAGTTATACAAACTGAGTTATATTGGTATAGATAACAATAATATTTCGGGTCCCATTCCTTATGAACTAGGAAATCTTTCTTATCTTAGGGGGCTTTTTATGTACAACAACTATCTGACTGGGTCTATACCCACGACTTTTGTCAATCTGAAAAACCTAACCATCTTAAGTCTATTTAATAATCAGCTGAATGGAACAATCCCTATTGAAATAGGTAACTGGGCTTTACTTGAAAACCTGGAGCTACAAGATAACCAGCTCAGTGGTCCAATTCCTCACTCATTAACTAAACTAAAATCCCTTAATCTTCTTCGCCTCTTCAGAAACCAACTTTCTGGTCCCCTTCCGCAAGAGTTAGGAAATTTGATATCTCTTTCTGTTCTGGAATTAGGAGAAAATAAACTCAACGGGTCAATTCCAAATTCAATTTCTAACCTACAAAATTTACAGAATCTAAATATCAAGAACAATCATTTCTCTGGTCCTATTCCACTAGAGTTAGGGAAACTACAGTTGGTTCTGATAGATCTCAGCGACAACGGCTTTTCTGGTGATTTTCCAGATGAAATTTGTACCGGAGGGAAACTTGAGATGCTCCTTGTTCGTTATAATAATCTCACAGGTCCAATTCCAAAGAGCTTGTACAATTGCTCAAGCTTGATCCGGTTACGTTTGGATGGTAATCAGCTAACTGGAAATATCTCCGAGAGCTTCGGTATCTATCCAAACCTCGATTACATCAACCTCAACAACAACAAGCTTTATGGGGAACTCTCTAACAACTGGAGTAAGTGTAAAAACTTAACCAACATCGCGATGGGAGGGAATCGAATCACTGGTAACATACCTCCTTCTCTTGGAAACACCCCTCGATTAAAATCACTTAACTTTTCTTCCAATGATTTGGTTGGAGAGATACCACGGGAATTTGGTAGACTGAATGGCCTTGTGAACCTTGTTTTAAGCAATAACCAACTTTCTGGTGCGATACCTCTAGAACTGGGATCATTAGCTGAACTTTCATACCTTGATCTTTCCACCAATAAGTTGAATGGGCCCATTCCCTTTTCCCTCGGAGATTGCACAAAACTCTTTCACTTAAACTTGAGTAACAACAAATTTACTCACGAGATCCCAACACAAATAGGTAGATTGATTCAGCTGTCAGAACTAGATCTGAGTCACAATTCACTCACCGCAGAGATACCTTCAGCACTTTCAAGTCTGAGTAGTTTAGAGAAGCTCAATCTTTCGCACAATAAACTCTCTGGTTATATTCCAAAAAGTTTTGAACAAATGAACGCATTCTTGGACATTGATCTTTCGTACAATGAATTGCAAGGTCCCATTCCCGAAAGCATAGGCTTTAGGAATATACCGATAGAAGCATTACAAGGGAACAAAGGGTTGTGTGGTAATGTTAGTGGCCTAGAACAATGTGCATCATCAAGTCGTGGGACCCCAATCCAGAGCCACAAACTTGCACTGCTGATTTCACTTCCTCTTCTTGGAGGACTTTTACTTGGTGGTCTCTTGGGAATGTTGGTGTTCTATAGTCAAAGAAAGAGGAATTTATCAGCGAAAGTAATAGAGGAAGAGAAACATTGTGAAGATTTCTTTTCAATATCTGCAGATTTTGATGGAAGGGAGACTTACCACGAAATCCTGAAGGCAACTGAGGAGTTCAATGGAGCATATTGCATCGGGAAAGGTGGATGCGGAAGTGTGTATAGAGCACAGTTGGCATCAGGTGATATAGTTGCTGTTAAAAGACTCCACTCATCTTCGGCCATTGTCAACCATGTTGATTTTGTAAATGAGATAAAAGCGTTGACAGGGATAAGACACCGCAACATTGTGAAACTGCATGGCTACTGTGCACACACTCAAAACTCGTTTTTGGTTTACGAGTATCTGCAAGGGGGTAGTCTAGCTGATATCTTGAGGAGTGATGCTGCTCGAACGTTGGATTGGATGCAGAGGATGAACATTATCAAAGGTGTTGCTCATGCTTTGTCGTATATGCATCATGATTGTTCACCCCCAATCGTTCACCGAGACATATCAAGCAAAAATATTTTGCTTGATTCCGAGTACAAAGCTTGTGTTTCGGATTTTGGTACGTCCAAGATTTTGAATCAAAACTCATCTAATCGGAGTAACCTCGCAGGAACATTTGGATACATTGCACCAGGTAACTTATATGTCATCTACGTTTATATAGAAATTTTGCTCCTTGTTGTACTCACCAATTGATACAAAGATAATTTTAAGAATGAGGTTCATTAATTCCTTTGATATTGCTTGCAGAACTCGCTTATACGATGAAGGTTACAGAAAAATGTGATGTATATAGCTTTGGAGTTCTGACATTGGAAATCATCAAAGGGGAGCATCCAGGTGATCTTGTTACTACATTAACATCTCTATCGGACCAAAGGATTGACCTTAAAGATTTGATGGATCATCGTCTTCCAATTCCCCTCCCAGAAATAAAAAGGATTCTAACATCCATCATGATCCTCGCAATAAGATGTGTGAAATCAAACCCCGAAATGAGGCCGACAATGTATGATGTTTCTCAACAAATTGAAATAGTTCATTTGTAACATCTCTAAGAGTGACGACATTTAGCATCGTTTTTCATATTTGGTTTCAGTTTATGGTATTGTGATACTACATTTTAGTTCCTCGAATTCAGTTACAACGGTTAATGGTAGTTCGCAATTTTCAGTTATAGAAAAAGTAATTAAAATATAGTTGTGACTACTTGAAATATTTATGCGTTCAACTACGTTCTTTTTTTTAATAAATGTTGAATTTCTAACAAGATAATTAACCAATTCAATCATCATTAATAACTAATTATTTTATTTCAAAGTATCATACAATCGATTGAATAATTAACATTGATTATTTATCCAATCATTATAACCTATGCAAAAAGCTGGGAATTTAATATTGAGATCAAACATCAAGTCGTCTTTTGGAGAGTTCTATAAACCTTCTGCAAGCTTATTCATGAAGTCAATGCGTGCTCAACTATGACTAGGTTGGTCCAAAAATGATCCGAACCGAACTTTACTAAATATAAAAGTTCTTCAGCTCCTAACAATGATACTGCATGCGAAGGTGCAAAGTATGCCTAAATCATGACATTTCATGAACCACACGTCTTACATCTACGGATTTGCTTCAATCTTAATCAATTTGAGGGGGTTTACCGAACCTCAAGCACCATCACCATCATGACACCTCGAGCATCAGATTGTGCTTAGGGATGGGAGAACCCCCAAACTTAATGGTTTGCTTTCATTTTGCATTTCAAGAACCACACGCCTTGCATTTACAATCTTTTTTTTCACGAGAATGATCAGATCGCTATACACATATGTAGAAAGATGAAATTGAGTGTATGATCCAGGAGATATTGATAGAAAAAAACATACATACAAGCAATAGTACCTATCTCAGCCCAGTCATTCTCGTGAAAAAAAAAGACTCTTGGAGGCTCTGTATCGACTACCAAGCAACAAACCCGAAAAATTCCCGATTCCTCTTATCGACGTGTTACTAGATGAGCAACATGGGTCGGTGATATTTAGCAAATTAGATCTTCGTCTTATCTATCATCAAATTCAAGTGTGTACCAAAGATGTACACAAGACCGCTTTTCATACACGACAGGAATTACGAGTTTAGAGTGACACCCTTCTACCTCACCAATGCTCCAGTAACATTTCAATCGTTGACGAACAATGTATTTGAACAGTAGTTGCGGAAATTTATACTTGTCGTTTATGACGACATACTTGTATACAATGTTGCAAAAGAACTACATCAGTCACATGTGACCACAACCTTATAAACTCTAGAAAAAGCATTAATTTTAGCTGAATTGAGAAGAATGTGAGTTTAAGCGGTATGTGTAACATCCCAATAATTATGAGGTAAAATTTTCATTTTTAATTCAACCAAAACATTGATTATAGTTAAAGTCATCATGTAACATCCTTTTTCTAGATATTCCAAAGTACTTTATAATAAAACAGTTATTAGAGTAAAATCACAAAATCATCATAGTGTGGAAACATGGGTGGATGCGTTGCGATCGAGCAACACCCTCTCTTTTCAAATTGGTAGTACCTGAAACATAAATTGAAAACCGTAAGCACAAAGCTTAGTGAGTTCCCCCAACATACCACATACAAAACAAACATACTATCAAGCATATATGGGTGTCTGGCCTACCCCTTCGGTCTATTTCAACTGGATATTGTCGAGCATATCTGGGTGTTAGCATGTCACTTCGGCCTATTTCAACCAAATATTGTCGAACATATTTGGGTGTTTGCCTCCCCTTCCGTTTATATCAACCGGATACCGGGTATATTTCACCTCTACCACTACCATATAATATCATAACAAATAATCACAGAAACAATAACAATTACCAGCATACCAGACAATTATCATAAAGACAATCATCTTACTATAGACATCAATTAGTGGGTCGGCATTGGTGCCTTCGACCCACTGATACAGTGAAGGTAACTCACATCGCCGACAAAATCAACAACTCACACAACTAACAAATGAGTGCCAAACACCTCCTAACAAACCATACAAACTAAAACTTAGTCCTCCTTCTAAAAGTAGCAATTTGGCCAAAAGTCAACCTCAAAGTCAACGGTCAAAGTTAAAGTCAACAATCAATATTTCCATCAACTGACACTCACATCATGACCAGTCCTTGGTTACATCATGAGAACACACTCGTCCAGATTCCAACTCAACTCGCTTCAACTCAGTCAACTCGATCCTAGATGACCCACTCAACAGATATCACGACGCGAACCTTCTTTGGTCACGGCGTGAGCTCAGTCAGTCGAAATGATCGCGTAAAAACCACTCTCACATTCTGACACTCCATGTTTCACGTTGTGAGCCACGTCTGATGCTAAACCTAAAGTCTTAAGTCCTTAATCCATTAAGTCATCTATTCCAACTTTCTAGAGGGCTTTCATACATCAAAAGCAACATAAAAATCTTTGCATTATGGAAATGCATGTCCAATTCATGTCTTGAACTTGATTAGATCAAAATTGTGAAAATGAGATCCAAATCTCATTCATGGGACCAAAACACAAACAAACCATATATAGATCTAGCATACCAAACATTAAAGGGACCTCATAGATCCATAAAGTTGTGAAATTTATGGAACCCAACAACTTAAACCACCTCCAACATGAAGAAAAAAGCATTAAAGTCTAGATCATAGAAGAATAACACATAAAGGTAGGAACTTGAGGACTTACCACGGTCCAAGGTATGACCTTTAAGGTGGTGAGGGAACTTGCTTGCTAGATCTAAGCACCAAGAACTTCTTCTCTTCTTCAAAGCACCAAAATATCCATAAATGTATGGAAGAGGAGAGGGGAGGCTTAAAATGGTGAAAGGTAGGCTAGGGTTTCTCTCAAGATGATCTAGATATGATGGAGGCTCATAAAATGCCCCAAAAACATGGAACCAATCCTTATATATGATGAAAACCCAAAAAACACATGGGTTTGGACTACATGGTTCTCATGTCGTGAGCACAGTTTAAATCAGCATTTCCATTTAATCACTTCTTACGTCGTGAGCTCCAACTGCTCATGCCATGAGCTCAGTTCTTCCCCAAATCTTTCCCAATTTTGAATAGTCATAACTTCTTCGTTTCAACTTTGATTTCGACGATATTTATATCCACGGAAAGGTAATGAGAAGCTATACACTTCTATCAACTCCCCTTACCATAAAACTTTCCGAACTAAAATCCAAAATTCAAAAAAAAGTCCAAATTGCCACTTTACCGATATACCCTTCGACTCTAAAACACAAACCAAACTCGTCGTTCATCTAATCTACATTATCCACACTCAAAGGGAACTAAGTCTCTTTCCCAGAGGCCCTAAACCTTATGATAACTAGTATTCGGGTCACAGGCTCGAATTATGAAACGATTTGAAATAGGGTGTTACAACTCTCCCTCACTTAAATTATATTTCGTCCTCAAAATCATTCCTTACTACGTCCTCCACTGCTAGACTATCCTACCCCAACTTCCTTAATTCTGATTAAGAATGAATATTTATCCCATACCGATGACCGCCTCCCAAACCTGTCATCCAAGCCCCGCCTTAGCAGAAATTGCATATACATCCAAAAGAATGAACCTTAACACTCTCTTCCTTCAACCCAAAAATCTACCGAAGATTACTCCCTAGGACTACTGATCATTCATTCATCGCACTCGCCCCTTAGTTCCTTATTAGGAATACCATTCTACTATGCAGGAAGAATGCTTGAAATATATCGATAGTGAATTACACGAAATCCCCAATTCGGAGGTTGCAACTAACAACCTCAAATACGCACTTGACTTCCTGACAGGTCATCCCTGACTTGCTGATCCCCCAAGCACAAGGATGTCAATCCAAAAATTCTCATGTTTCATCTAAATCGCATGTCAGCTCAAGTGTACCCCCCCCCCCACCTGACGAATCGCTCAAGACGTTCACAATGGACTTCATGGATCAAGATTCCATAGCCGGTGCCCAGCATTGGTAACTGAATTCTTATTAGACAACCCACAAGCAACCAAAGTTCATAATGCAAATACTCTACAAGTGGCTACTATTGCACAACCATCATTCCTAACTACTTTTAACTGTCCACATGATCCAACCAGTTGGTAACCGAATCTCCCGACTCCCACAACGCACTGACACCCCAAAGAAGCTAATAAATCTAACGATCCGAGACCTAAGAGTCTCAGTCAAAAGACTACCGGGTCTTATCATGTATATCATATAGCCACCGGTTTATGATACATCGTGACACCTACTATCCACTAAACGATAATCTCACATTACTAAAATGATCTTGCTGAAACCACACCTATAGCTAGACGAATCGCGACTAGCCCACAAGGACCTAAAGATACCCAACCATCAGTCAACCAACTTGCAGGAACCAAAACAACATCCATATCAATGCTATCCAAACACAACATGGGCCATACTTTTATGTCACGGCCAATTCCTTACACAGGACAGAATGATATTTGATAGGATGTTAATCCTTGATGCTCGATTAGATTCTAAATAGTAAAGAAAATAAGAACACAATGGAAGAATCAAAGTATGCTTAATGATTCAAAGGTCACCGCCTCAAAAGAACTCGACAAAGAATTGCTATTGTAGAGGCTTGATTAGGGTTACAATGATATTCCAAAGTTACCAAAATATGATGCATGCATGAATATTAAATACTCTAACAATAATAATAAAGACGAGTGGATAATCCCAACTCGTGTACAATATAAACAAACAAAAGGGCCCATTGACGCAACATAATAATCCTAACAATCTCCCCCTTTGCGGCAATAGAGCGAGTGTCCATCGGGGAAAGATTCGCTTTTGCACTTTAAATACTTTTGGCATAATGCTTAAGAGTACCTTACGAACCTGTACATACCATCGAATCATGTCCGAGAAGCACTTTTTGTCACCTTTGCTGTTGGCCTTGCATTTGTTGACCAGGTCCATGATAAATTCAAGACAAGAAGTAGTGTAAAAATGTTTATCTGAAAGGAAGAAACATGTTTTACAATAATCAGCTTCATTTTGTTCCTTAGCTTGAAATACCATCTACCAACTTTCTTTGTAAAATTTTCCCAGCTTTAGCTTCTCAAACCCTTCCTGAGATTCTTTAGGAACATCAAAAGGCTTCTTTCGTAACCGCTGCTATTTCCACATCCATCGTTCCTACCTCTTGAATGTACAAAATGATCATGAGCTTTAGGTGAGCAATAACAAGCTCGTATTTCTCCTCATCTCTCTACAAAAAGATATAGAGCATAATACAATCGTATAGGTTGATAACAGGAAGGCCTACAAGTGTGAACTCGTGAACTTGATTCGCAGAACCTCTAAAAACTTTGAATTTTGCATTAGGAAAACTATCAGTCTCAATCGGTCCAGTGCCCTTCACTGTCGTTATCTTGCTTGCACTCCACGTCTCATACTGCGGCCACATGTGTTTGAGATAAAATGTGAATAGCAGTTGATCATCACCATTATCAATAGAGGAGAAATTTGTAACCTTGATAAAAGAACAAAACTTGAATTCCTTCGGAGTTATTGGAAGGTCTAGTTGTGGGTCCTGAGTATTCTAAAGTTCGAACGACACAACCGCTTCTAACCAATATTGATTCGGAGAGTCAACAACTTTTCTCTTAATTCACTTTAGCGTCCGTACAGGAAATAAGTGTTTCCTGCTCTCAAGTGTGAACCTAGCTTCTCTTTCAGCCTTCTCCTTGGCTTCAGCCTCTCGAACAATTCTCTAATTTATTTTCATCTAACTCAGCTAGGGGTGTAAACGAGCCGAGCCGAGCCCGAGCATGACAAAGCTCGAGCTCGGCTCGTTTAATTTGAGGAAGCTCGAGCTCGATTCGAGCTTTAAAATGAAGCTCGAGCTCGGCTCATGAATAATTTAGTGGGCTCGCGAGTCTAATCGAGCCTAAACGAGCATCTATGTGTGTGTGTGTGTATGTATGTATGTATGTGTGTGTCTATATATATATATATATATATATATATATATATATATATATATATATAGAGAGAGAGAGAGAGAGAGAGAGAGAAAGAGGCTCGTTTAAGCTCGTTTAGGCTCGCGAGCCCATTAATTGAAGCTCGGCTCGAGCTCATTTAATAAACGAGCCTCATATTTAGGCTCGAGCTCGGCTCGGGCTCATTTAATTCGATCTCGAGTCAAGCTTTTAACGAGTCGATCCCGAGTAGCTCACGAGTAGCTCGGCTCACTTACACCCCTAAACTCAGCTTCACGAGCCTTTCGCCTTTTGAGTTCTTCTTCATCTAGCTCTTCTTCTTCACTATTATCAATGATTGTCTCTTCAGAGAAAAGCTTTTCTTTGCCTTTGGGCTCAGATTCACTTTTAACGTTTAGCTTTGGCTTAGCAATTGGCTTGACAATTGGCTTATTTGGCTAATCTCCCCCTTGTTTCGGAGTGCCAGAGGAACACAAGACACCCTCTGAACGGTGAAGCATGGAAAAAATAGGCATGAGTTTTTCATTTAAGTGTTTTCTAACTGAAATGGTAATCATTGAGTCCCTAGTCTCAATGAAATCTGAGATTAGGCCAGTGACATTGGTGATACAACTTTTCATTATTGCCCTTTCAGTTATCAAATCCTAGACTTGTTTCTCAGCCTGTTCTAGCTTGACAGTTAAAACTTTAACTATTTTAGTCTTGATAGCTATAGAGTCCATTATCTTACTTTCCATGGCTAGATCTTCTTGAAGCTTGGAAATTTGAGAAGTAATGGGGATTTGAACTCTTCATGATCAGAAGTAATGCCAGCACGAACTTCTTGAAGTTTTTCCCTTTCTGCTTTGAGTGAGGAGCCAATATTGGAGATTGCTTCATTGGCTTTAGCAGTGTTGGATTCAAAAGATGTTTGAAAGTTATTCATAAACACTATGGCATCAGAAATTAGTTTATCGACTTTTTCGGTCGTTTTATTGAAGACATCAGTAGAGTCATTCACTGCCTTATTCATCTTCTCTATATTGGTGGTGTGTTCCTTAGTGAGAGTCTTGACAAGTGACTTGACTGTAGCCAGAGAATATATATCAGTTGATGAAGGATTTGAAGCTTAAATCAATGAATCAAGTTTTTCATGGATGACTTTTAGTTGCCCCTTCGTTATAGGAGCCTCATCATCACTCTCGGTCTTAATGGTGAATGGAATAAAAGTGAACCCTGCTAAGTTATCTTCACCATCCCTATAAATCGTATATGAGTCATCTTCACTAAGTGGGGAAATGGGTGGTGAGATATGAGTATATGTGAAACCAGATGCCCCTGCCCCTGCATCATATGCGTTGACAGAAACAAGAGGTGTTTCTGATGTTGTTGGTGGAGCTATGGAGTTAGTAAATAAAGGAATAAATAGAGGAATAATGCTCTAAATTTAAGAAGAGACATATAGGGGACACGGTGCAATAGTAATTAGTTTGGTAGTGGTGGTGGTTTTGGGTGAAGGAGGAGGAGATCAAAAGAAATCATTGTAAGTAGGAGTTACCTCAGGATTAGATGTGACACCTTCATTATGAACAAGCTCTTCATCCTCGTTATGAACAGGTTCTTCCTCCTCGTTGCGAACAGGTTCTTCCTCCTCGTTACAAATTTCTGATTGAGTGTCAGACTGTGAATGTTCTATTTTGGATAGAGTGGGGGACTTGGTCTTGCGAGTTGGATTTTTGAACTTTCGCCTTTTTGGTGCAAGAGGTTCGTTCTGACCTTTCCTTTTCTTAGGAGTTTAAGTTGGAGCGAATGGCCCCTCTTGCCCCTCTATTTTCCTTCCCTTTTTCTTCCCACATTTTTTGACCTCCCTTCTTGGGTTTATCTGCTTCATCAATTATCGCTTGCATTTCGAAAGTCAAGGGACGAAACCTTGTAGCAGGAATATTCCTGTATGCATCTAGAATCTTGCTAGACATCAGCACATCACAAAACATCGCCTCTGGGATAGATCCAACAAAAGAATATTTTGATGTATCAGCAACAATAATACATGTGGTGTGAAAAGTCGAAATTGATGTCATCATCGCATCTTTCATCACTGGAATTTTAAGCTTCTCCATAGCTTTGTGAACAAAAATGGTCCAGAAACGTACACAGGAGACTTCACTGTGATGTGTGGTTGAATGAGTGCTTTGAATGACTTGAGCCCATAGAACTGCTCCAAAATCAATATTTTTTCATGTGTAGATTCCATGTAGAATCGCCATGAACAACTTATCGGTGCAATCAGATCCAGTAACTCTTTCGGAAAAGGCCTTGAATAGCAGAGTGAAGAAGCCATTCCATTATGGTGGCAGATTTGGTTTCTGGAACATGGAGACGGCAATTAAGGTTTCTTTATACCCAATTTGGTAAAACATCTCCAATAGGGCAGCGTTGGACACAAATTCAGGGTTAATCATGTCATCCGATTGAGGAAACCTTAGAATAGAGCATAATCGTGATTTGGAGATGGAGGTTTGTGATTGAGGATATCAAACGTAATCATTTGTTCTTCTTTGAGAAAAGTTACAGAAGAATAGGCTTTGCATAAATACGACATCAGGACGTTCTCCATCTTTATGAGTGCAACCGTTATTGGAGAGTATTTAAGGCACTCGACAATCGAAAGCATGTAGCTATCATATTTGCACGGTTCCAGATCGATCACCATATTCTGATTTTGTTTGATTGCAAGGAGTGAAGACTGTGTTGTTGGATCGTGAACTGAGGGAGTTTCAGAAGAACCCGCCATTGTTGATATCTTAGGGAAGAAGATAAACAGTAGAATGCTTTGATCACTGGAAATCTTTTAGAGAATTTATGAGTTGTGAGGAGAGATGAAGTGCCAAAATCCTTTTATACTGTTTGTTTGGTGAGAGAATTCGGGAGAGAGATTATCTTGGGAACTGAAACATTGTCTATAAAAGCGCAATTTGACAGTTGCTACGTCAGAAGCGTATTCCGACAATAACAACTATCACTCCAACATTGGTGCACCACCCTTTGAGCTTTTGTATGGTCGGGGAGGTTGGTTACAACGTTATGGGAATGACTGACAAAGTCCTCCAAACCATGGAGCTTATCCAGCAGATCATACAAAGATTGCAGAAAACTCAAAGTTGGCAGAAGAGTTATACCAACCAGCATCGATCGGATTTGGACTTTCAGGTCGGTAATATGGTACTACTGAAGGTCTTGCCCTGGAAGGGTGTGATATGCTTCAGGAAGAGGGGAAATTAGGTCCCTGGTATATTATACCGTACCGTGTGATTTTTAAGGTAGGCAGGGTGGCCTACCGGTTGGATTTTTCGAGTGAGCTCAGTCTAATTCACAACACTTTCCATATTTTGCAATTGTGCAGGTGCGTGTTGGACGGGGAGGCAGTGGTCCCTTGGATGATATTCAGGTTGATGAGAGCATGCATTATATTAAAAGTTCGTTAGTGATAATGGAGAGAAAGATGAAGATCATGCGCAACAAAGAGATACATTTGGTATAGGTTTAGTGGCAGCATCAGAAAGGCTCCAAGTGGACCAGGGAGCCGGAAGCAGAGATGTGGGAACATTATCCTGAGTTATACATAGCAGCTGACTTCGAGGACGAAGTCTAGTCCAAATGGGGGAGAATTTTAACATCCCGATGATGAGGTATTTTCAATTTTAACCCTATGTATGAATAAATATTGCAATTTAGTCTTTGAGTATAAGAAGGAGTGCAAAATGGCCCATAGTGGCATTTTGGTGATTTTGGACAAATGGGTAGTACGATGGGCGTACATTGTGTACGTTAAGCATGGTCATACATTATGTACGCTAAGCGTACTAAGGCAGACCCTAGTATGCTTAGCGTACACCGCGTACGCAAGGCATACGTGAAAAAACTTCAAACACTAATTACTAGTGTTTTGTCCATATATAAGCATCATTATCTCTCATTTCTCATTCCCTCACCAGCCTCCATCTGAGAAAATGACCCCAAGCTAACCCTAAGTGAGAAGAATGCATCTTAAGCTTATCTTTGTGTTTTTGTGAAATTCTTGAAGAAGAAGAAGGAGGAGAAGGAGAAGAAGAAAAAGAAGAAGAAGAATGAGAAGAAGAAGGTTGTGAGAAGAACTTGGAGCTTGGAAGCAACTTGCATCTAAGACTATCTCCTTGTTAGCAACATCTAGGAGGTAAATAGTGCATAACTTGATCACCGTATCTTGTAGATCTAGCCATTTCTTCATTTAGGGCACCTTTGGTCCCAAATATGGTGATTCTTGAGCATGGCATGATGTGAACCAATTAATTCATCCTTTCAAACCGTATGAGAGGTCTTGAGTCATAAAAATGTGATCTTGATGCTTAGTTTTTCTCCATGCATGCTCTAGAAGGTCTTAGGCATTAAGATGTTGAGATTTTGTTTATTAAGCACTTAATGGACATATAAAGTCATAATGTTAGAAGCTTTATGACTCTTAGTGGTATTTTAGCCTTGGATATGAAGTTTGGACGTAAGAGCTTAATGCATTAATCTATTATTAAGAAAAAGAGGTCCTGAGCGTACGTCGTTCGTACCTCAGCGTATGCCGCGCATACGTGGTCAATCACTTGACTCCGGTCAAAGCTCGAGTATGCCCAATGTAGAAGCTAAGTATGCCCCGGGTACTCGGCTGAGTGGACCAAGTTGACTCCTTAACCCGTTAACTTTGACTTTGACTTTGACCATGGCTGACCAAGTATGACTTAAGGGTATTTTGAGTATTTTTAGCTATAGTTAAGCCTTGGTCTCTATCTTTTGAATAAGTAACCTGTAGAGCCCGTATTTAGAGCAATGTATTGTTTAGCTATTCGTCAGACTATGAGGTGAGTTTTCCTCACTGTACCTGTGGTAGAAGGTACCAAGGCTAACCCTTTAGATTGTTTATCCTGGTCAGAATAGTGATATGGTAGTTGTATTTTTTCGATGGATCTGTATGGTTTGGGTTGCTTTGTGTTTATGTTTATTTGTTGTATATGTCGACATGTTGAGTTGGGTTGAGGCGGTCCTACTTTGTGTTGTAGGCCAAGACACCCGTGGATGACCGGATAGACTGTAGGCCCTACGAGGCAGTCCAATCAGACCGGCGGTCCGTAGAGCGGTCCGGATAAGTTGTATGCCCTCTGATGCAGTACAGTCATGTCGAAGGCTAGTAGAGCAGCCCATATAGGTTGTAGGCCCTGCGAGGCAGTCCAATCAGGCTGACTGTTCATTTTGCATGCTTGTATGTTGTGGTGTGCTAGTACTTTAGGAGAACTCACTAACCTTTGGCTTATAGTTTTAATTTATGGTTTCAGGTACTTCCGATGATCATGGGAAGGTGAATGCGTGATAGTACATAGCTTCCATTTTTTATGTATTCACGTCTTGGAAAAACTCTGATTTTGAAATAATGCTTTTGAAACAATGACTCTTTTGTATATAATATTGATTCATAGTTGTTTTTAAAAGTTTTAAATTTATTGTGATTTTTGGAGTGTTAGAGATGATCAGAGAAATCAAATCACACCAAAAAAAAACTCTTCCAAATCATTTTCTAATGATGAAATGAACATAGATAATTTTTTTTATAATCAAGAACATATATTTATTGATTGTTGTATCTTCTAAATAGATCTGTATCCAAAAAAAAAGTTATCTTAGGAAACTGTAATTTACAGACCTCAATCTACACAAATTTACGGTTTTAATTTGTTGTAATTCAACATTCTAATTATGTTTTTTCTGATTTGGTATATTACATTTATTTTAATTTAGTATGTTTCAATTATATTATTTTGTTCATTTTATGGCATGGGCTTTTAGTTGGTGTTGGCTCAAATACAGGCCCAAAATGATTTCCCACGTGCTGCTCTTGGGCTTGAGAACTTCACTGAATACGAACTCTAAAAAAAGCAAAAGCAAGCTATGCCTTCGTCTCGAAAGCAAGAAATAAATTGAATATTCAACAAGAAGCTGAAATTCCATCCTTTGAACGGGTAGAAGGGTTTTCAAGTGCATAGGGGGTTCTATGAGTTTGGTGTGTGTAATGTTTTTTAGGGGTATAAGGGTAATATAATTCTTAGGTTTCCTGTTGTAAATATAACTTTTGATGTGTTTGATGTTCATTTTCTTTAATTGATTGCGTTTATGGTTTTATAATATATTTTTGTTGTTCTGAAAAAACGTTACACATATAAAGGATCGTGTTAACTGGTTGCATGTGGTATCCTATGTTAAAACATCGTTTACATATTTGGTATTATAAATAATATTATTATATAAGTTTAGAAATATGCAAAATATTTCTAAACTTTTTCATAAATTTTAATCTAATTCGAAAATATCATTTATAATTTTTTTTAGAAAGTAAAATAATGTTTTAGAATGGAAACGCGGCTTATTGATTGGAATGTGGATCCCAAGAAAGTGAAAGCTAGAAAAATAAAATAAAATAACTCAATCATTTTGATTGCCTCTTTCTTTTTTAAATCGGCCTTTTTAACGATAAATCCATGTAAAATGAGCCTACATATATAAATTAGACAACACTCACTTCTTTTCAAAAAACGGATATTACCTTTTCATAAAATTAAAAAAAAAATCTAACAATCATCAATTAAATTTATTTAAATATAAATAAATTAGGAGATATTGATTGATTTGATAACAAAAGTGTCAATTATTTTAGTATGGGACACCTACTTCCTTCCAAAAAACGAAAAATACATCCGCACTATGTTTCTGTCCCACCTAATTTCTGAGACGTGGCGATATCAATGGAAATTCTATTAATTATTTCGAACAACTACTAGGACTCTATATCTCAACATATTAAATTTTAGATTTTAAATATTAAATTTTTTAA